AATTATAATATTATAATATTTTATATTTGCTAAATCAGTTTATTTTTATCAAAAATAAAAAATTTAATAATAATTTAACTAATTCATAATTATAATATTATAATATTTTATATTTGCTAAATCAGTTTATTTTTATCAAAAATAAAAAATTTAATAATAATTTAACTAATTCAATAATATTTTTTTAAGAGATTTTAAATCTGATTTTGTGGCTTGATTAAAAAAAAAAAGGAAGAAGAAATCTCATTTCATTTTTACCATTAGGTAGCAAAACGCCATTTGATTGAATTGTCTGAATCGTTTTTGGGAACTGAGAACAAATTCATTTCGCAAATCCTCGAAATGAAAAATCTAAATGCCCAAAAAAGCCCAAACTAATTCCCAACATCCTTCACTCCCATGTGAAACCCAATCTCTAGCTCACTCTCTTGGGCACTTGATCCCAATTTCCCCAAATTCCCAATCCTAACGTTGGGATCTTCTGCCAGGTACGCGGGTCCTTTCTAAATCCGTCTATTCAATGCTTGATTTCACACTTTTTCGCCATTCAAATAGACCTAGTTTTGATGTCGCTCAATGCCTGATTTTTGATTGTGTTGATAGCTCCTCTTTTTGAGTTTAGTTTGAGAGTTTCTGAGTCTTAATATAAGTTGGCTTAGATCTAACTTCTGCAACATGAAATTTGTTTTTTCTTGTTTTCAATTTCACTGTTTGCCTATGTATTGTTTCAAGCATTATTGAGAATGATGGGATTATTCAATCACCAAATTTCGTCAAGTTTAAGCTGCAGGTAATGCCTATATGAGAAAGTCCCTTGTGATTATTGGTCTTGCAAGTCATTTAAATGGTAGTAATGGATGATTGGATTGTTATTTGGTAGTTATTTTCAGAAACCTTCCATCCAGCAGATAAATTTATAGCAAAACTTGTGAAATTACCAATTGAATACTAACATGTTTTGGTTGCATTGTTGTTAACAGCTTTATAGAACTCGAGAGGAGGAGTACTTGCTAGATCTACAAAAGGTTCAAGGGTTAAATTTGTGTTTTTAGACCTTTGTGCCGCATTTCTTGCACAACTTTAGGTCTTTTGAAACGAGAGAGAGGTCACTATTCTTTCAAGGGGATCGTTTTCTACCTAAAATTTAAATTTCAATGGTGCATGTTCATTGAGATTCATTCATATATATAGTGTATCATATTGTATATATCTTATTTTTTAGTATGACTTAATTACAACTGCCTTCATAGTATCTCTTTGTTTTTAGATGGGTATTTGATTTTTTGAGTTTTTATTTTATTTTTTTATTAAAAAAAGTGTAAAAAAAGAGGGAAGTATATGTTTAACGCCAAAGTTGGATTATTACCATCATTCAAATTGTTAAGACTAGTAATTTATCTATGATTTTATTTGTTCATAATTTTTTCTTAAATTATTAGTATGATATTTAGAAATATTTTTTATTAAAAAAAGTGTAAAAAAGGAGGGAAGTATAGGTTTAACGCCAAAGTTGGATTATCACCATCATTCAAATTGTTAAGACTAGTAATTTATCTATAATTTTATTTGTTCATAATTTTTTCTTAAATTATTAGTATGATATTTAGAAATATTTATTTATAAATTAATTTTAATTTATTAAATAATAAATATTAAT